TTCCCTGTACTGTGTTCGCAGTCTCTGGTCATCTCCTGTACTGTGTCCGCAGTCTCTGGTCATCCCCTGTACTATGTCCGCAGTCTCTGGTCATCTCCTGTACTATGTCCGCAGTCTCTGGTCATCCCTGTACTGTGTCCGCAGTCTCTGGTCATCCCCTGTACTGTGTCCGCAGTCTCTGGTCATCTCCTGTACTATGTCTGCAGTCTCTGGTCATCCCCTGTACTGTGTCTGCAGTCCATTGGTTCAGAATATTTTTTTTCTTGTTTTTCTCCTCTAAAACCTAGGTGCGTCTTATGGAGCAAAAAATATGGTAATACTGTAATTATATCAGACAATTACAACATTAAACAGGCTGAAAATGTGGGTTTATTCAGATGTGTAACAAAAAGCCACTTTCAGCGTCGGGTGGTAAAAACAGACAGTTGTGAAGTAGTTTGACTGCCCCTCCCCCCTGCACCGCAACTGCTCTCAACATATCCTTTCCCAGCCTGTTACCTGCCCCCTGAAGAATGATCCACTGCAGAGACACAGCACAAGGGTTAACATATAAGGCCTGGTGACAGTGGTGTCGCTATGGGGGTTGTGGGCTGCTGCCAGGTGACACCCACCAGAAGGGTGACACCAGGATTGCCAAAAATATGTTCAGGAGATGACTTTGGAACTGCTCATGCACAGTTCCAAAGCCAACTGGGCTTGGACGTGCTCGGCCATTTTCGGTGGGCGCATGCGCAGTGAGTCAGTGACGTCATGGCGCTGCCTGGAGCCATATTTGAATGAGCAACAGTACAGTATTCATGATAGACTGAAGAGGGGATAGCCTGTGATGAGGTAGGCTAATGAGGAGGGAGTTACAATAGTCAAGGCGAGAGATAACCAGGGAGGGAATAAGTTGCTTAGTGGTTTCCGTGGTTAGGAACGGGCGTATCTTGGAGATGTTGCGGAGGTGAAGTCTACAAGATTTGGACAGTGTTTGGATTTGGGGGTGAAACGACAAATGGGAGTCTAGGAGTACACCTAGTACCCTGGCATGAGGGGAGGGACTGATGGTTGTATTATTGATCTTGATGGAGAAATCGGGGGAGGGGGCGCGGGCTGAAGGAAAATACTAAGAGCTCAGTTTTGGAAAGATTGAGTTTGAGGAAGTGGAGTGACATCCAGTCCAATATGTCGCTTAGTAGGTTAGTAATACGAGAGGAGACTGAGGGGGTGAGGTGAGGGGTAGAAATATAGATTTTGTGTGTCATCAGCATAGAGATGGTACTTAAATCCATGGGAGTTTATCAAGTGACCAAGGGAGGAGGTGAAGATGGAGAAGAGTAGGGGCCCAAGGACAGAACCTTGAAGGACCCCTACAGAAAGAGGGAGCGAAGAGGAGGAGGCAGCATTATAGGTGACACTGAAGGAGTGCTGCGATAGGTAGGAGGAAAACCAGGAGAGAGCAGAGTCTCTGCGGCCAAGAGAGTGGAGTTTTTTGAGAAGGAGGGGATGGTCAACCGTATCAAAAGCCGCAGAGAGGTCAAGTAGTAAGAGTACGGAGTAGTGGCCATTGGTTGGGATGAGTACGGAGTAGTGGCCATTGGTTGGGATGAGTACGGAGTAGTGGCCATTGGTTGGGATGAGTACGGAGTAGTGGCCGTTGGTTGGGATGAGTACGGAGTAGTGGCCATTGGTTGGGATGAGTACGGAGTAGTGGCCATTGGTTGGGATGAGTACGGAGTAGTGGCCATTAGTTGGGATGAGTACAGAGTAGTGGCCATTGGTTGGGATGAGTACGGAGTAGTGGCCATTGGTTGGGATGAGTACGGAGTAGTGGCCATTGGTTGGGATGAGTACGGAGTAGTGGCCATTGGTTGGGATGAGTTAGGAGTAGTGGCCATTGGTTGGGATGAGTACGGAGTAGTAGCCATTGGTTGGGATGAGTACGGAGTAGTGGCCATTGGTTGGGATGAGGATGGAGTAGTGGCCATTGGTTTAGCTGTTAGTAGATCATTAGTGAGTTTTAGTAGGGAAGTTTCAGTGGAGTGTAGTGAGCAAAAGCCAGAGTGTAAAGGGTCTGGAAGGTTGTTGTCGGTGAGGTGGGAGCTCAGGTGATTGTAGACAAAGCATTCTAGGAGTTTAGAGGTAAATGGAAGCAGGGAGATGGGTCTTAAGTTGTTCAGGTTGGTGGGGTCCAGCGAGAGCTTTTTAAGTATGGGAGTGATGTGCGCATGCTTTAGAGGGGAGGGGAAGGCACCAGTAGAGAGGGAAAGATTGAAGATGTGAGTGAGGGAGCATAGGATGCAAGAAGTGGGTGATCGTAGTAGTTGTGAGGGGACAGGATCCAGGGGGCAGGTGGTGAGATGGGCTTCTGAGAAAACCTTAGTGACCTCTTCGGTGGTAGCGAGGTCAAAAGAGGAAAGTGTTGAGGGAGGTGTAGTATAAGGTATGCTAAGTGGGATGGATGTCTGTGCAGTGGAGATGTCCCTACGAATTGCGTCAATCTTGTTTTTGAAATGATTTGCAATCTCATGAGCCGTGAGTGAGGTACTGGGTGGAGCTGGAGGTGCAGAAAGTAGAAAGTTAAAAGTAGAGAAGAGACGAGGAGGACTGGATGATAAGATATATTAATAGGAGTGACAAAGTAGGCTTGTTTGGCAGCATGGAGGGAGGAATTGTATGTTAAGAAAGCAGCTTTATATCGGTTGAATGCTTGGTGGGATTTGGTTTTACGCCACAATCGCTCTAGCGCACGACTATGTCGTTAAAGATTTCTGGTGTGGTCAGTCTGCCAAGGTTGTAATGGTCGGGGCCTAATGCTTCGTGTTGATGGAGGAGCAAGCGAGTCTAATGCGGATGAAAGCGAACTGTTGTAGACAGCAGTGGCCAGGTCAGAGCAGGACAGGGGAGAGATTCTGTCATAGAGTTGGTCAGTTGCAGAGTGGAAAGGAGCCGGGTTCAAGTTGTGAAGGTTTCTGCGGGTAATTGTTTGCCATTTGGAGGGATAGGTGTTTGAAGACGAGGAGACTGTGAAGGTGATGAGATTGTGATCAGAGAGAGGAAAGGGGGTGTTTGTGAGGTTGTAGGGAGTGCAAAGATGGGGAGAAAACAAAGTCTAATGTATTCCCATCAGAGTGAGTGGAGGACCATGGAGGACTGTGTCCATCAGAGTGAATGGAGGACCATGGAGGACTGTGTCCATCAGAGTGAGTGGAGGACCATGGAGGACTGTGTCCATCAGAGTGAGTGGAGGACCATGGAGGACTGTGTCCATCAGAGTGAATGGAGGACTGTATACATTGTACTAATGCAAAAGATGAGGTTAGGTTGAAGAGTTGGGATGTAGCCGGGTTGTTGACATTAATAGGGATGTTAAAATCTCCGAGAATGATAGCGGGTAGTTCAGAGGAGAGAAAGTAGGGTAGCCAGGCGGAGAAATCATCAAGAAAGCGGGACACGGGTCCAGGAGGCCGATAGATCACTGCAATCCTCAGAGAAATGGGAGAAAACAGCCGAATGCAGTGAGTCTGGAAAGAAGAGAAGGATAGAGAGGGAGGGTTAGGGAGGACTTGAAAGGTGCTCAGTGGGGATAGAAGCAAACCAACCCCACCACCTTTCCGACCACTGGGTCTGGGTGAGTGGGTCCAGAGGAGGCCTCCATAGGGAAGTGCTGTGGGGGGAGCAGAAACTGCTGCTTGGAGCCAGGTTTCTGTAATTGCTAGCAGGTTAAGGGAGCCGGAGACAAAAAAAGTCATGGACAGAGGTGAGCTTATTACAGACAGAGCGGGCATTCCAGAGCACACATGAAAAAGGGAGGCTGGTTTCTGGGAGCACAGGGACTGATGTTAAATTGAGTGGATTGCGGCTATTCCCGGAAGAAAGAGGATGCCTGGTGTGGGGGTGAGATACTGGAGGACCAGGGTTTGGGGAGACATCCCCAGAGGTTAAGAGAGGAAAGGAGATTTTGGGAAGGCAGGATAGTAATATGAAAAGGAGGAGTAGAGGGGACATATTAAATGGTACACGGAATGGGACTCAGACTTGTAGATGTTTCCCGGGGTGTTTGCTTGCAGTCTATCCAGCCTACAGTAGAGTTTCTTGTTGTATCTTCCTGCTGCTTGAGTTATGCTGCTTGAGTTATGCTGCTTTAGTTAACCACTTGCCTACCGGGCACTCATACCCCACTTCCTGTCAAGGCCAATTTTCAGCTTTCAGCGCTGTCGCACTTTGATTGACAATTGCGCGGTCATGCAACACTGTACCCATATGAAATTTTTATCATTTTTTTCTCACAAGTAGAAATTTCTTTTGGTGGTATTTAATCGCGCTTTACTTTTTGCGCTATAAACAAAAAAAGTGCAAAAAATGTGAAGAAAAAAATGTCTTTGTTTCTATTAATATAACATTTTTCAAACAGGTAATTTTTCTCCTTCACTGATGTGCGTTGATGAGGCAGCACTGATGGGCACTGATAGGCAGCATTGATGGGCACTGATAGGCAGCACTGAAGGGCACTGATAGGCAGAACTTATAGGCAGCGATAATTAGGTGTCACGGATAGGCGGCACTGATGATGGGTACTGATAGACAGCACTGATAGGTGACACTGACTGGCATCACTGCTGGGCACTGCCTGGTGGCACTGCTAGGCATTGACTGGCGCAACTGCTGGGCACTGACTGTTACAACCGCTGGGCACTGACTGGCAGCACTGCATTGATGGGCACTGGTGGGTGGCACTGATGGGTACAGGTGGGTGGCACTGGTGGGCACAGGTGGGAGGGCACAGGTGGGTGGCACTGCTGGGCACAGGTGGGTGGTACTTCTGGGCAATTGTAGGTGGCACTGCTGGGTGGCACTGCTGGGCACAGGTGGGAGGACACAGGTGGGTGGCACTGCTGGGCACAGGTAGGTGGCACTGCTGGGCAATTGTAGGTGGCACTGCTGGGTGGCACTGCTGGGCACAGGTGGGAGGACACAGGTGGGTGGCACTGCTGGGCACAGGTAGGTGGCACTGCTGGGCAATTGTAGGTGGCACTGCTGGGTGGCACTGCTGGGCACAGGTGGGTGCACTGCTGGGCGGAACTGGTGGGTGGCACTGCTGGGCACCAATCATCAGGGCACTGATCATCAGTTCCCTGATGATCGGTGCCGATCCCTCCTCTGACAACTGCTGGTTCTCCGCAGTACTTTCCTCACGCTCTGACAGCGTGAGGAAAGTGCAGCCAAGAATCGGCAATTGCATTTCCCGGTGATCAGCGTGTCATTGGATGTGATTGGCCTTTTACCACATCATGTGATCAGCTGTGTCCTTAGGACACAGCAATCACAGAGATCGCCGGGGGCACGCAGGAGAGCACCTTCTGGGAGGACGTCATATGACACCCTCGCAGAACTGGCCGGCCGCAGTGTAGCCGTCATTCGGCTATCTGCGGTTGGCAAGTAGTTAAACTGCTGTGTTCAACTGCTGCTTCACACTCCTTCAAAAACCGCACTCACGCAAAAAAACTGCACTCCATCTGTGACTCTGCCCCCCCTATCTATGACCTCCCCCCATGAGCTGATCTAAATTTATAGGGAGATGGTCAAATGAGCAACTCTCCTCCGCCCCAATTAAGAACTGATAAGGATCACATGAATTGGGGGGGGGGGGGGATGTTTCTCAGACACAGGCCAGAGTCATAAAAGAAGTGCAGCAAGAGGTGAGAATCTATAAAAAAAAAAAAAGCACAAAATGTATACACAATTTGTTCAGAGATAGCAGAAGTCAATGCGTTGTTGAAGTTACAGTTTAGAGTGGGAGGTGAGAGCAGCAATTTACCATCATCCTGCATACCAAACCAATAAATTCCAATCAGTCTTCAGCAGGCAGCCAATCCCGTCTTTCCGTTCCTGTAACATACGGACCGGCGTTGTCCGATAAAAGTCATACAAATACATTTATTAACATTTCTATATTTTAGTTCATGTTCAGGAGGGAAAAAAAAAGAAGATAATTACTTCTTACTCGCATTAAAATTGTCCAATGTAATCCACACATGACCCTCAGGATGAAGATAAGGATAATTTAAAATCAATTTCTTACCTAATTGAGTAAAACCTGAAGTAATGCAGATAAGGCCGAGGGTAATAATCTTCTAGTATGAATACCAATTGGATGTATATATATATATATTGTGAGTGGGCCCCGTACAACCTGAGACAATAGGGCCCCGTCATTGTCAGCAATACCGAAACAAACTGTAAGCCGTACGTACGATATTTTATTGTTGGTGCCGCAGAGTTAAACACCCTGACCGTCTCTTCTATCCCTCTGGGTCTCTATTCCTAAACTCCCTACACTGAGTTCCTGGGTCTTCTTGCCCATTATGAGGGGTTCCCACCATACCTGTACCGAGTTCCCAGCTCGGTATGTCCTCTGTGCTCATTTTAAGGGTTCCCACCATCCCTGTGCTGAGTTTCCGGGTCTGTACACCCGCTGTGCCCATTATTATTATTATTATACAGGATTTATATGGCGCCAACGGTTTGCTCAGCGCTTTACATTATAGTGGGAGACAATACAGCAACAATACAGTTCAATACAAGAGGGATTTGAGGGCCCTGATCCTGGGAGCTTACAATCTAGGAGGGAGGGGTGAATGGTACAGTAGGCAGTCACTGTGGGGGATGGAGTGGTTGGAAGAGTAGAGGATTCCAGAATTAGCAGAGGGTGGGATAGGCTTCCCTGAAGAGAAAGGTTTTCAGTGATCATCGAAAGGCAAGTAGAGTAGGTGATAATCTGATAGATTGAGGTAGGGAGTTCCAGAGGATGGGTGACGCCCTGGAGAAGTCTTGGAGATAAGCATGGGAGGAGGAGACAAGGGAGCTAGAGAGTAGGAGGGCTTGCGAGGAGCGGAGAGTACAGTTTGGGTGATATTTAGAAATAAGATCGGTTATGTAAATTGGGGCAGTGTTGTGGATGGCTTTATATGTCATTGTTAGAGTTTTGAATTTTATCTGTTGGGCAACTGGGAGCCAGTGGAGGGGTTGGCAGAGAGGGGTGGAGGACACTGAGTGGAGGCCAGTGGAGGGATTGGCAGAGAGGGGTGGAGGACACTGAGTGGAGGTCAGTGGAGGGATTGGCAGAGAGGGGCGGAGGACACTGAGTGGAGGTCAGTAGAGGGATTGGCAGAGAGGTGTGGAGGACACTGAGTGAAGGCAGTGGAGGGATTGGCAGAGAGGGGCGGAGGACACTGAGTGGAGGCCAGTGGAGGGATTGGCAGAGAGGGGCGGAGGACACTGAGTGGAGGCCAGTGGAGGGATTGGCAGAGAGGGGTGGAGGACACTGAGTGGAGGCCAGTGGAGGGATTGGCAGAGAGGGGTGGAGGACACTGAGTGGAGGCCAGTGGAGGGATTGGCAGAGAGGGGCGGAGGACACTGAGTGGAGGCCAGTGGAGGGATTGGCAGAGAGGGGTGGAGGACACTGAGTGGAGGCCAGTGGAGGGATTGGCAGAGAGGGATGGAGGACACTGAGTGGAGACCAGTGGAGGGATTGGCAGAGAGGGGTGAAGGACACTGAGTGGAGGCCAGTGGAGGGATTGGCAGAGAGGGGTGGAGGACACTGAGTGGAGGCCAGTGGAGGGATTGGTAGAGAGGGGTGGAGGACACTGAGTGGAGGCCAGTGGAGGGATTGGCAGAGAGGGGTGGAGGACACTGAGTGGAGGTCAGTGGAGGGATTGGCAGAGAGGGGTGGAGGACACTGAGTGGAGGTCAGTGGAGGGATTGGCAGAGTGGGATGGCAGATATAGAACGGTTAGTAAGGTGGATGAGTCTGGCAGCAGCATTCATGATAGACTGAAGAGGGGATAGCCTGCGATGAGGTAGGCCAATGAGGAGGGAGTTACAATAGTCAAGGCGTGATATGACAAGGGAGTGAATAAGTTGCTTAGTGGTTTCCGGGGTTAGGAATGGTCGTATCTTGGAACCCCTTTGTGAGGGGTTCCCACCATCCCTGTGCTGAGTTTCTGGATCTGCACACCTGCCGTGCCCATTATGAGGGGTTATAGCCTTCCCTTATGCCCCGTACACATGATGAGAATATCGGATGAACGATCGGCCATTTTTTTTTGCCTGCTAGTATCACATCGAAAGTGAAAAGGTTACTAAAGATACGAAAATTCTCCTATGAAAGAAAAGAATTTGGAAAGTGATGTCATGTATTGCGTTGTATTTGTATTGACGGCTTCACTGCGGCCGGGCCCCGGCCAGTTCTGAGTGGACGTCACATGACGTCCTCCCAGAATGCACTCTCCTGTGCGCCCCAGGGGGCGCGCACCTGGCGATCTCCGTGATCGCTGTGTCCTACGGACACAGCTGATCACGTGATGTGGTAAAAGGCCAATCACAGCGGCCTTTTACCACGTGATCAGCGGTGTCCAATGACATGCTGATCAGAGGGAAATGCAAGTGCCAGTTCTCGGCTGCACTTTCCTCACGCTGTCAGATCGTGAGGAAAGTACTGCCGAGAACCGGCAGTTGTCAGAGCGGGGATCGGCACCGATCATCAGGGCACTGATGATCAGTGCCCTGATGATCGGTGCCCAGCAGTGCCACCCGCAAGTTCCACCCACCTGTGCCCAGCAGTGCGCCCACTAGCTCCGCCCACCTGTGCCCAGCAGATCACCCACCTGTGCCCAGCAGTGCACCCACCTGTGCCACTCTGCAGTGTCACACACCTGTGCCCAGAAATGCCACCTACCTGTGCCCAGCAGTGCCACCCACCTGTGCCCACCCACCAGTGCCACCCACCTGTGCCCACCCACCAGTGCTGCCCACCAGTGCCACCCACCAGTGCAGCCCAGCAGTGCTGCCAGTCAGTGCCACCAGTCAGTGCCCAGGGGTTGTGCCAGTCAGTGCTGCCAGTCAGTGCCCAGCAGTGATGCCAGTCAGTGCCGTCTATCAGTACCCATCATCAGTGTCACGTATCAGTGCCGCCTATCAGTGCTGCATATTAGTGCCGCCTATCCGTGACACCTCATTAGTGCTGTCTATCAGTGCCGCCTATCCGTGCCACCTCATTAGTACTGCCTATCAGTGCCCTTTAGTGCTGCCTATCAGTGCCCATCAGTGCCGCCTATCAGTGCCCATCAGTGCTGCCTCATCAACGCACATCAGTGAAGGAGAAAAAATACCTGTTTGAAAAATTTTATAATAGAAACAAAGAAACCTTTTTTTTTTTTCAAATTTTTTGCACTTTTTTTATTTATAGTGCAAAAAGTAAAGCGCCCAGTGGCGATTAAATACCACCAAAAGAAAGCTCTATTTGTGAGAAAAAAATGATCAAAATTTCATATGGGTACAATGTTGCATGACCGCGCAATTGTCAATCAAAGTGCGGCAGCGCTGAAAGCTGAAAATTGGCCTGGTAAATAAGGGGGTATAAGTGCCTGGTAGGCAAGTGGTTAAAGGAAAATCGTATGATCTGGTATCGTACGGGTAAAATGTTTGCGCTTGTCCCTTCGGATATTGTCGTACGAATTGTCATGATCGGCTCTCGAAAGCTGTGTACTAACGATCCGATTGTCGGACGATCGGTCCTCGTACGAAAATTTTCATACGATTTTCTTATAGTGTGTACGGGGCATTACTCTATCCAAAAGGAATAAAAATGTTTTGCTTTCAGTCCAGCTTCAGGTACACGGCATCTCTCCTGCAGGAGACAACAGTCCCAGCGCTTCCAGCTGTTTCCCTGGCTGAGAGCACCCATCAGCACAAGGGCCTCTTCCCATTCCTTGCCAGTGCCGGCCCTTGTGCTGATTAGCAGAATAACATCTTATCTAAATGTCGGCTTTCAGAGGCTTCTGGGTTTCTTCAGAGTTCTTTCCCCTTCTGTGCGTTCCGCTGAATAAACTAACAATGGTGCGGAAGTGTAAACAGTGTAACGGGCAGTATCGTCTTTTTATGCAGAGAAAACAATTTCTTAATAATTCATAAGATGTGATTTAAACATACGGACTCGAAGACGTAGCGTTTGTAAAAGCACAAGGTATAAATATATTCAGAATAACTTATTCCGTGATATGTATATCCCGCTCCATACAATCTCTGTCCTGATTTTCCTCCCAGGAAAAGAAAAAAAATAAAAATAAACCTGTACTGGTGGTTTTGGTTGGTGGTTGGGTTGGTGGTTGTGGTCGGTAGTTTTGGTTGGGTTGGTGGTTTTGGTTGGGGTTGGTGGTTGTGGTTTTGGTTGGTGGTTGGGGTTGGTGTTTGTGGTTTTGGTTGGTGGTTGTGGTTGGTGCTGGTGGTTTTGGTTGGTGGTTGGTGGTTGGGGTTGGTGGTTTTGGTTGGTGGTTGGGGTTGGTGGTTGTGGTTGGTGGTTTTGGTTGGTGGTTGGGGTTGGTGGTTGGGGTTGGTGGTTTTGGTTGGTGGTTGGGGTTGGGGTTGGGGTTGGTGGTTTTGGTTGGTGGTTGGGGTTGGTGGTGGTGGTTGGGGTTGGTGGTTGGGGTTGGTGGTTGGGGTTGGTGTTTGTGGTTTTGGTTGGTGGTTGTGGTTGGTGCTGGTGGTTTTGGTTGGTGGTTGGTGGTTGGGGTTGGTGGTTTTGGTTGGTGGTTGGGGTTGGTGTTTGTGGTTGGTGGTTTTGGTTGGTGGTTGGGGTTGGTGGTTGGGGTTGGTGGTTTTTGGTTGGTGGTTGGGGTTGGTGGTTTTGGTTGGTGGTTGCTCTTTTGGCACGTATTGCTGGAATTACCTTAAAGCAGGGGTGGGCAGCTGTGGCCCTCCAGCTGTTGGTGAACTACAAGTCCCATCATGCCTCTGCCTTTGGGAGTCATGCTTGTAACTGTCATTTTTGCAATGCCTCATGGGACTTGTAGTTCTACAACAGCTGGAGGCCCACAGTTGCCCACCCCTGCCTTAAAGCCTTTCTCCAACCAAGAATCCATACTGAACAATAAAAATCCCCCCCAACCCCCTCTAACTAATTGTTGCAGTAATATAAAAATAATGTAAATGCCTCTTTTACGAAGTTAAACCCGTGCTCAGGTAATGCATTGGATCCCCAGTCTTCTATCGTCGTCATTGTAAAGTGGGAGGGTCCTTCCGATGCCCACATTGCTGCCTGTATGACATGGACACTTCCCATTGAATGTCCAGGAGGGAGGTTTACATGTACTTGGTTAGAGGCTGGCACAAAGAGGGGCTTAATCCAAACACCTCTAGGCTGGAGTGCAGGTAATTAGAAGACCCAAAGTGGCATGAGTACCAAGAGTCCAGTCCATGGATGTTGGCTTCTAGAAGAAGGCTTAACTGCCACAGTGTTCACATAGGTTGAGGAGTTTTGTCAGGACTTGGATCTGAACCTGGGAGCTCTGCTTTGTCTAGCAGTAACTTTTCTTGCTGAGCCACCTGAGATGCTGGACAGCTCCCTCTCTGATCCTATAGACCAGCCTTTCTCAACCTTTTCAACACAGAGGAACCATTGAAATAACTTTCTGGTCTCAAGGAACCCCTGCTAAATATTACTATATCTACAACCTATGGTACATTAGTGTGATGGTCAGTGGGAAGAATGCTCCTCACACTTGTGGTCAGTGGGAAGAATGCTCCTCACACTTGTGGTCAGTGGGAAGAATGCTCCCCACACTTGTGGTCATTGGGAAGAATGCTCCCCACACTTGTGGTCAGTGGGAAGAATGCTCCCCACACTTGTGGTCAGTGGGAAGAATGCTCCCCACACTTGTGGTCAGTGGGAAGAATGCTCCCCACACTTGTGGTCAGTGGGAAGAATGATACCCACACTTGTGGTCAGTGGGAAGAATGCTCCCCACACTTGTGGTCAGTGGGAAGAATGCTCCCCACACTTGTGGTCAGTGGGAAGAATGCTCCTCACACTTGTGGTCAGTGGGAAGAATGCTCCTCACACTTGTGGTCAGTGCGAAGAATGCTCTTCACACTTGTGGTCTGTGGGAAGAATGCTCCTCACACTTGTGGTCTGTGGGAAAAATGCTCCTCACACTTGTGGTCATTGGGAAGAATGCTCCTTACACTTGTGGTCAGTGGGAAGAATGCTTCGTACACTTGGAGTCATTGGGAAGAATGCTCCTCACACTTGTGGTCAGTGGGAAGAATGCTCCTCACACGTGTGGTCAGTGGGAAGAATGCTCCTCACACTTGTGGTCTGTGGGAAGAATGCTCCTCACACTTGTGGTCTGTGGGAAGAATGCTCCTCACACTTGTGGTCTGTGGGAAGAATGCTCCTCACACTTGTGGTCTGTGGGAAGAATGCTCCCCACACTTGTGGTCAGTGGGAGAAGAAGGAGGAGGACACACTGAAGGAGCTCTCCCTGAGAACCAGCATTTTCAAGCCTGGGCCTTGCCTGCTAGCTTGGCCCAGGAACCATGCCTGATCCAGGGGGAGGCCCTGGGAGAGATTCCCCTGATGAGACCGGGCCTAGTGAAGAGGAGGAGGTGGAGGACCTGACTGTGGGTCCCGCCCTGGTGAGGATGTCGATGTCTTCAGACAGAAGATTACTGATAGATTGGTGACTATTGGAAGAGCTGAGGAGAAACTTAATGTTTTGAAATCTGAACACAAAACCTTCAGAACCAAATACTGCCAGGCCTGGAGCAAGAACAGATTGGGCATGAAGCCAGCGCTCCAGCACATGGAGGAGAAAGTAAAGAGACAATCTTTCTTATTAGAAAAGTTGAAAGCAAGAAGTGGAGCATTTAAAGAAAAGTTCGATAATGAGAGGAGATTTGCCAGCCAGACATCAGTGAGCTCTGTGGATCAGCAGCCTCAGGTAATGGATGACCCGGCTCCATCTACATCTGTGTCTCTCCCCCCATGTCAGGCTGTGGAATCACCAGTGGCAACCAGCCAGGGGGTTGAGGGTGAGTATGGAACCCTGAAGTTCATCCAGCAGATGGAGTCACCCCTGAGAGCAGACAAGTTTTGCCTTCACTGATGACCCTTCAGAAGTCCCTGAAGATGGACAGAGGAGGTACAGAGCAGCAAAGCCAAGACTGGTGGGAGAGATCCCAATACACCAAGATGGCTGCTCCCAGCATGTCTGCCCCACCTGCTGCGGTGAGTAAAGTGGATGAGGAGCTCTGCAAGCAACCTGCTGTGGAGGAATCCTCAGCCAACCTGGAGGAAAAATCCCTGGCAGATAGGTATCCATACCATCAGGGGAATGTGGATGAACCTGCACCAAGCACCCCACGGATGGAAGTTACTGCTGCTGTTCCTGCTGAGACCAGTAGTCCCTCTACAGGCAAGATGGCTGCTACCTGCAGAGAGACTGTTTCACCTGAGCTCCCAGGTGCTCCAGACCTGATTGATGCTGGTGGGGTAGGGGAGCAGCACACTGCACAACATGGAGAGCAAACAGCACACATGGATGTCTCACTTGTTGCTGTGTCTGAGAATCCAATCCTGTCCTGGGCTGAGTGTTCTTTCTTGGAGCAAGAGATGACTGATGGAGCTTCTATGGTTGCAGCAGTGAGTGCGGACATTGCTGTGAACTCTATGACTGTTGAGACTCCTAAAGCAATGGATGTGATGGTGGTGGGTGGAGGTGAAGGGGGTTAACATTGCTGACAGAGGTAAAAATGACATTTCTCCCCTGCTGAGCAGAGAGAGGATACACCATCCAATCCCGGATCTGTGCAATCGGT